CACCAAGCATCTACTACATAGATAAGAAATCTAGAAGTGGTTACTGATTGATGTAGTGAAGTTTAATCTAACTTACTTACTGATATTAAGATTAACGAATGTCATAGAACTAACATTCTCAATTTTACATATAAATCTCAGTAGTATACATTAAAACGGTTGAACCATTTGACAAGCTATTCTTTGCAATTGCCTTCGATTGTCCGAAAAAGCTGACACTTAACATATCTAAAATAACTCCTACACAATTAGATCATTCATGGTTATGGTTGCTGCAAAAAATTGTGATTCATTTGAAATATTGACGATTGTATTTACATTTCGGAGGAAATTTAAGTAAGATTCATTGAATAACTTCACTATTACTCTATGTAAAGTGAAGTTATCCATTAAAAGATCAAAATTTAAAAAAATTTTATTATCAGAAGGGTTTTTATGGATATTATAGTAATTTCAGTGGTTGAAATCATGAGTCAATTGAAGTTAAACCATCATGAAAAACCGAGAAGCACTGAACGGCCGTTTCGTCCCACCACGGGATTCCTCAGCGGTACGCATCCACGATCCCACCTCTCGAAATTCGAACCCAGGTCCTACCAGTCTCACGTGCGAGCGCATAACCTCTAGACCACTGAGTCGGCTGTCATCCAACAGTGTTAATGTCTAACTTCAACTAATCCAGGAAATTGAGTCATACGTCCACCATTGCCTTCTGTGAGTTACTATCTCACAACTGAACCGGATGAACTGCACTGGTCATGGCTTCTCACTAGAACTCCAGGAAATACCTCATAAAGCCAGTCACTAATGACCATATGTTGATTCCTATCAAGTATTTTAAAGAATATTAAGTTACACATTCATGTAAAACTCAATAGTTTTTGGTTTCTGTACTCTATACTACATTTAATTTTAAAGATTATATTAACTCAATTAAAATTCCTATGATTCTCTAATATATATTCATCAGTTGAAGAGAAAGTTATTCAGTGAGCTAACAATTGATCTATACTATGAAAATATACAATAACATAATGTATGAATGTAATTTATAATATTATCATAGTGTAGAACTACGAAAAGTAAATGATGTTCTACCGATTTCTTATTTCCTGTACAACTGTGAAGAAAAAAATTATAAATGATTCTATTTTAAGCTCAGAAAAATACCCAGATATTAATGATAGAAATTGTACATCATCTCGTATAACATTTAATATTGAGTATTATTGATCAAAATTTGAGGGGTTTAACCCAAAATGAATTAGTAGTATTTTCAGTATTCTTTAGTAAATTCACAGATTGAAATAAAAACTGTAAATAAACATACACATAAATTGAACCGGTCACTTTATGACTGTACATAATGAACTGGACATTATCGAATATGAAGATAGGTAATATAAGGTGTAAATTTCTACCAAGCAAATCCATACTAGTGATGTCACACCATCTGGGATAGATTATTTATATAATAATTATCGTAACTGATTGCATCTGATAATCAACAACATAATTTCACACAATTAGGTCACTTTATGAATTTAAGTAAAGCCAAAACACTAGGTAGAATAGTGTTAATTTGTTTTACTTCAAGGATTCTCGTCTGCTGTTTATAATCAAGTATATTGAAATAGTGGATATTGATGAATGAAAAAACTGGAATGAAGACAATTAGCTGATTTATGAGTAAGCACGAGTAAATTCACTAAAGAATGAATGTCTGAAACATATAAGCCTGAAGAATTAATGGTTTAAAATTAGAAAATTTATAAGATGGATTATTTAACAATTATCGAGAATCTAATGAATTCACATAAATTGTGAGTAACTAAGGAAAAATCATAGAATAAACATAATGTAGTTATTCTTTAAACACTTTAATTGAATGAAGTTAATAATTGATTTTTTTAACTAAAAGGGAATAATGACTATATTTTACTATTTAGTTTCTATCGACAGAACACTACTATCGAACTTGTATTCTCATACGTATTCAATTATGTCAGTAATTATTTGACATTTGTAAATGGTTTTTCTGTACATATATTGAACATTCAGTTTTCTACACATGTGACAATAAATATTCATGGGTTGAAGATTAAAACAAAATAATTTTGATATATATAGTATCAAATAACTTAGTTGATAGATTAACTATACTTTAACCATAAGTATAAACGTGAAGTAAATTAAATATTTACTTAATAAAAAGCTGTTCATTTTTTAGTTGCCAACATTTTTTTCCTATTTCCAATTCAATACTCGGATTAGAATGAAATTATTAAAATACATAAATAGAGGTTGAAGAATAACAGGAGGATAGAAAGTGAATAATTGAAACATTCACTGATAAAAAGACAATATAACAAATATACTGTAGTGTTTTAGATGAGCTGATAAGTAAACAGTAACAATCTAGTTATAAAAATAACTTCAGTTGACTTGCTCAGTGGAAATATAGCTTGTTCTGTATTGTTTGATACTTAATGACTGGAAAGAAAAATCTAAACTTTGTGATATGATGAGAATAAAAAGTAAAATTACATTCTTTTACTCATTATGATTTCTGTCCAACATTACTTTCGTTTTCATTCATTACAATAATTACTCAGTGTAGCATTTGTTTTGTTTCCCATTGTGGTGTTTTATTTGGTATACCATTAGTTTATTTGAGTGTGGTGTTTGTTAAAGGCACGATATTTCGTGTCAAATTAACATGAACCGTGCTCAGCATGACACGCAGTGCATGGTTTGCTATAACTCTGGGTATTTTTCATGCATCCGATTTCATCCTACTTAATAATCGAAACGGGTGTACTAATCAATAAATATGTTGTGAGTGCATTTTTCAACAGGGTTTTCGTCATGTTTTGGGGATTAATAAACTCTCAATTGTAACAGTCTTTGTGTTTTTACTTTTACGTCGTAGGAACTGCAGTGGTTCCTCGTCTTAAAAGTATAAGTAATGAGCGATTCCGACATAACAAGTAGTTTAGTCTAGATGATGGTTAATTTTAAGCGAGAAGTTCTGTGTTCGCATTTCAATGTGAACAACTTCATTCGGATACAAGTAAGTTATGTTAATGACTTCCAAAGTGGGCGAAACGCTAGTTCTAGATTTCATGACTTACTACAATCAACCTGTTTTATAAAAGACCAAACAGAATTTATGATATAGAATGACTCCGCCACAGGAACTGAAATCAGGACATCCGGACTCGACCGCGAACCCTTAACCTTCAGATAACTGGAAAGACATCCAGTGGCGCGGTAATGTGCAACCCTCACTCATTGCCTCAGGTGGATAACTGTCTCACATCTGACACTGATTAAACTTCGATGTTCATGGCTTTTCATTAGAATTTAGGGTGTTCAAAGTCAGCCTGTGGCGTCGCGAACACGCACTCTTGAGGAGTCTCATATAAAAACGAAACGGCCGTCCAGTGCTCCCAGGTTTTGAAAGGTGGTTTAGCTACGATTAGTTCGTGATTTAAACTATAGAAATTATTTAGTCTGCACAAATCCCTCGTATTTATTTATTTTGCTAAATTGCGGCATTAAGAGATTGACGAAAATGGAGGGGTATTGAATCAGTGATGTAGTACGAATGTCTCAAAGTAAAAATGAACAAGAATTACCTAAATTTTTATTAGTTAAAATATAACAAATAAAATTATTTACACTTTTATAATTAATCATTTAGTATATAGTTTCTAACTATGAATACCTACTACACTGAGAGCCACAGAAAAATGATTAACATTTTGTTACTCACTTCTACAATCAACTAATTTCTGTATACAGTGATGTTATGCTCTCATATGTTCATCATTAACTTTGATTGAGCTCTTATTCTTTAGACATATTATTTAGTAATTCATTGAACTGAGGGTTCTGTTTATTTTGGTTTATATTTTTGAGTAGTTCAGACAAGTAGGAATGAATAGTTAGACTTAATGTTTTGGGAACCCGGTCTCCTTATTAAAAATTTAAATGTTTTCCCGCCAAATATTTCGTTAGCACGCTCAGATTACATATTCAAAGAAACTATACATTGATTGATGTTGAGGATATTTTTTTTGATTAATCAATTCTATAGGCATGAATATCAGTTATAAACCTGTTCAATGATCCTCTTACAACAAGATCAAGGTGAATATTGCGTTTTTCAAAACTATAGAAAATTTGGAGGTTCTAACTAATAATGTTGACTAATGGAAAATTAAAATTATCAGTTCACTTTCTTCCTTACAGTATATACCATAGAACAATTAGCTAAAAGTATACAAAATGTCAGTACATATTTGTTAAACAGTATGAAACAATTCCATGAAACCAATTCTTATGGAATAAAATAAGAAACATTTTCGATTTTTTTTATACTTTTTGAGTCAAATAATAATTCAAATAGTTTCATTTCTTTTAAACATAACATAACTACTCATTACGGTTACATGGTCATCATTGGTTTGGAAGCATAGTACAGCTTTACCAATAATAACATAGTAACTAGTCGATATAATTAGACTGTTACAAAATAATTTCAGCACACAATTTCTATAGAATAAACTTCTTGAATATAAAACAATAGATTACCTAAGTAAAGTAATTCCCAACTTATCAATGTTATAATGGAGTAATGCATCATTCAATAGTTAGAATAATAAAGTTTTCTTAGTAAAACATTCTTACAGTATACTATCCTAGTCACAAAGGATATTCAACATTTTATATTATCAACTGATGTCATAACTTCTCTTCTCTTATTGGTCACATAGATCCAGAGTTTTAAATTACTAGTTGGTATGTTTTATGTAGATGAATGAACAAAACAAATACATGACATTTTGCTGTTGTAAGTAATAGCATTACGTAATCTTCTCTAGATATTAATAAACTACTTTACCCTGAAATGATATTCGACTTTGTCTTGACAAGAATTGAAGTAGGCGCTTATTATTATTATTATCATTATTATGAAAGATTAAATTACTTACTTGATTATTAATTTCGGTTGCATCACTGTCATTTGCTTCAATTTGTCCAATTAAATGATTAATTTTAGCATCTTCGGATACAGTCAATTGATATAATGAATTATCAAATGTTGGTACACAGTCATTTACATCGTCAATGAAAACATGAAGAGTTCCATGTACAATATGCTGTTTTGGTGCTTTACGATTAAACAGTTCAATTGTATTTGTTTTTATAGTTATATCTGTTAGAGATGTAATATTATCATTATTATAATTATTTAGTGTAACCCATTCAGACTGATCATAAACAATTACAGATAGATTAAAATGATCTATCTGTTCTCTGTCAAATGGTCGTAAACTAGTTACTGTACCCGTTTTTTCATCAACCATAAAATTATCCATGTGTTGTCCATCTAAACGATAACCTAACAAAGCATTTGGACCAATATCTGGATCATGTGCATCAATTTTGTAAATTTTTGTTCCAGATGGACTATTTTCTTTTATATGAGCAATCATTTTACTTTGTTTAAACTGAGGACCATGATCATTGATATCTTCAATAATAAGATGTAAACCAACTTGTGAAGATAATGGTGGTTGGCCATAATCATAGCATGTTAGTGTAGCAAACTGATCTGTTTGTTGTTCTCTGTCGAAACTAGCATAAGTAAGAAGTTTAAATTGATTTTTAGCACCTTTGAACAAAGGTTCCAACACTAACCCATTATGATTTAACTGACAATTAATGCTTAGATGTGTATCTGAATCAATTGTTTGATATTGATAATTCATAGTTGGGGCATTATTCTCAATCAAATTGTCTGATTTAGCAAGAATCGGGTCAGCAATTTCATCAGAATCAGTTACTGTTACAGTTCCTATTAACTGGCCTGGTGGTTCATGTTCAGTTACATATAGTAGAATCGTTCGACCATTAATAAAGTTGCGAACTCCGGGACGTATCGATGAACTTGAAGAATAATTACTCGATTTCTGTTTAATAACTGGACGAACTGAAATCATAGGAGGGTGATCATTTATGTTTTGAATTCGTACAGTCAGCTTTTGCGTTATCAAGTGTTTACCATCAGTTACTGTGATTGGTAAAATGTGTATTCTGTGTTGCTCATAATCCGGTGAACGTAAAAGAATTACTTCACCTGATTTCGGGTCTATTCTAAATGTGTCCCTAACATCTAGACCGGCTGATGTTCCTAGTGTGTATTTAAGCTTTTTCTTATCTGATTCATCACGATCAACCGCTTGTGCTTTATATATAACTCGTCCAGCTGGAGTATTTTCAGGAAGCTGTATATATAATTCTCCATTTTCTGAGTAGACAGGTGATAAGTGAACTAAAGATGATTCGCTTGTAGTTTTAGAGTGATATCGACCAGAGTCGATAAACTCGGGAGCATGATCATTAATATCTGTAACTGTTATATTTATTGTTACAGTGCCTGTCAAACTAACCGGTTGACCACCATCCACTGCAATTAAAGTCAACTTTGCTTGTTTTACTTTCACACTTTCAGGATGATATAGTTTCGATGAAGTCAAAGTATCAGTTTCATCGGTATTATCATCATCATCACAATCTAAATCTTGTGTAATACGAAGCCATAAACGAAAAATCCGTGGTTTACAAGTAATTGCTTGATAATTCCACACAGTGTTTAAATTCATATCTGGATTTGATATAAGCTCTGCATCTAAATGGAAAACATTTTGCATTGAAGATGTTTTTTCTGAATTTATAACGGAAGACTGAAATTTTACATTCTCATCAAGTAGTGAATAATTTACAGTTGTATTAATAGGTCCACAATCTGGATCATTAGCTGTTGGTAAGGGTATTCTAGTACCGATTGAAGTATGTTCTGGTACACTGATTTGTATAATATTCTCTTGCCATGATGGTGTATTATCATTTATATCAAAAATATATATTTTTATTAATATCACTCTATGCTGTTGTTCATTATTTTCACGTGAATGAGAATCATGAATAAATTGTAAGGCTTGTAGTAATATTTCACAACTTGATTTAGTAATATATCCTGTATTTAGAGAATTCGGTTCGTTTATTACAAGTTGATCAACTTCTTTAATTCTAAAGTCATTTGTTGAATGTGGAAGAAGATTATTAATTGTATTACTACTGTGTATATTATTATCAGAACAAATAGTTTCACGATCGATTCGACCACGTGTATACAATAATCCAGTAGATTCATTCAAATAAAAATTTACATTATTTGATAAAAGTTGAAAAGTACTAAATGAATATGATTGACTCATTGAATTATATGGTATATTATTTAAATTTCCAACTAATGTATTTGGTGGACATTCTTCAGTAATAAAATATTCCATAGTATATTGTCCATTCACATAGTTAGAATGATTTAATATAAGAAATTGAAAGACAATGGTAGTATATAACATATAACAATAAAAATCCATTTTTGTTTTCTTATGATCTTTTTGTTTTACTGATATCAATAATGATCATACAAAGAAGAAAAAATAAAGCCAAATAGAAGAATAATATTTACAGTAATGAATATAGTAGTTGATATATAACTTTCACTGTTAATTCATAATTATTCTTAATTTGAAATAATCCATATTTCATTATGAATACTCTATGTGTCTATGGGTAAGTTGACTATTCAAACTATGTTAATTCGCATATATTTCTCAATATACTATTTGAGATAAGAGTATATTATTACTATTTTTATTATTACGTTTGTAAATTTAAACAAAAAATACTTATCAATTCAATATATGTAATATGATGATTTTGACAATAGACAGTCATTATTATTGTGTTGACAAGTTTATGTCCATAACACAATATTCATTTTTCTTTCATCATTATCATTAATTTACTACATCAGGATAAAATGAAGCAATATATAAATATATATATATGTGTACTAGCCCAAATATGAGATACGTCAATTAACCATCGGTTATTCATTCATTCAATAAGTTTAGAAATAGTGATTAGTTTCAATGAGTTTAACTTTGTATTTCTGTTATTTAATCCGATTGATGAATAAAATGTGTTTTACACAGTGAATAGATTATGTTAATGCACACTTTAATTATCCTATGGATTATCCAATCATATTTCAACTGTTTGTCTGTCACACACTCTACGAATATTTTAGCGTAGGACATAAATGAATAAGGAATTAAGAAAGAAATTTTATTTGTAGTTGAGAGAAAAATTATCCTAAATATCACTAAGTAATAAACTTAATTATTATAACCATATAATTTGTATAGATAGATTCATTCAATATGATAATTAAAGAATATTTGATGATGTCGGTATTTAGAATATTTTTATATCAAGTTGAATGGATCACTAAAGACAATTGATTTATGATATAGTGTCAAGTTCATGAAATTTAATGAAATGTAATAGACTCCTATCTTCTTACCTTTTTGGTATGAATTTCTAAAAACATATACAATAAAAGTGAATGAAAATATCAACTAGAAATGAAAAACGAAAAACTATTGGGACACTGAAGTTTTTAGTAATATAAGTATTATTGAAATTCTGGATATAGTTTGCTTGTCAGCTAGAGCTTGGTTGAAGAATGTTAAGCTAAACAGCTATCAATATTCACGAGCATGAACAGTAAATGAGATAAGACCTACATAAAAAATAGTATCATTATAGAACGGTCAATGGATTAGAATATTTGATCCTTGATCACATCATGAATGTTATCTACAAAGCTATTGTAGTGAACAGAACACGAGTGGGGACAATCGAGTGTATTTAACACAAAATTACAGGAATTGTTAATAAAATCTAACAATCATAAAGTAAATGCTTAATTTGCAAAATGTCCACCAGTTGTATCAAAATGACTCAGACGTCATTGTTCTTCCATTTTCATACAAATCGCATCCTGTTTCCGTTCTTTACTGTTCAATCCTTATGTCTCTCTGCTGCCATACCTTCTGTTCACGACTAACATCATCTAGTACTTATGTCAATATAAGTAGCACACACCACACTATGTCCTGAAAAATATCACTTTTTTACTAGAGATTAAGTCATAAGTCATTATGTGTATCACGCCAAGGAAAAAAAGTTGATCTTTCTCTCTTAAATAACATAGCGATTCCTTATGTGTTCAAAAATAAGTAAAAGAAAAAATGAGTGTTCAAAACAAGACAATGTGATCTATGCAATGTGGCAATGTCACATATTTTAAATTTGTTCTTAGTAGGCGCTTTATTTAGTACAAAATTACGTAGATTGATATTTTCTTACTTAAACGAATTCGCCTGTAACTTAAACGCACATTAACTTTTTGACCTTCATTAATTCAACTTGTAAGGATTTTACATCGTTAAAGTGCTGTTACGTATAAGACGTATAATCAATTCGATCGCGTAGGTAAATTTTTATATCAAAAAGAACACCTAAATCATCTTTATTTTGAATGGCAGCCATGATATTCAAATCATAGAACCAGTTAACCTATGAATTAAAGTTTTTTTGGTTTACTGAATAATAATAATAACTGACAGACCACTTTAAGTTAATTGTAGTCATTCATTGATGAGATTTGTTCACGAAGCACCAGTCCAACTGCAAAAAAAAACATGATGTTCAATTTAGACAACTGTAATTGATTAAAATATACAATATAATGATCAGGTCATTTTAAGATTATTTCATTTTAACTAACTCATCCTGTTGAATAGTTCAGTTTCTCAGTTGGAAAATAACAAAGACAATAACAGTCTATCCTCATTGTTTCCATTGTTGTTATTACTTTCGTCACGTTCTCTTTTTCCTACATCTAATTATTTAATTATACACACAAACAAAACAACGAAATGGGAGTCTTCGTTGTCAGTAGAAATATACAAATAATGATGGTGAAGATGTTGCGTATGTATGACCTGAAAACACATCATACTGTGATGAACACACTGAGGTCATTGATGATTGCTAAGTGAATATGAAATGTTAACATGAAACAAAGAAACAGGTTGATTATTATCTCCATTCTCAATATTACTAATAATATACTAATTATTGTAACGAGATAACTAAAATAACATTGAGTTGGTTTAGAGTTGAAGTTAGGACAGTTTGCTAAGTATGACATATTAGTGTAGGAGAGAATCATTGTGCATCCGTGTTGTTTGTTTTATGAGTTGAGTTAACATGATGTCGTGCTACTAGTTATTAAACGTCAATATGTGTGTAGATGTGAACGACTGTAAATTAATGATTATTCTCTAATTCGCTTCTATTGAAGTTTATTCAATTTCGCCAATTTTAGTAGCCGAAGTTACTAATGATCAAATTAGGAAGAACACATTTGGTATACTCACTGTATACAAACGTGATAATAGCCGAACTCACTAAATTACAGATATCACAATGATTAACAACACTCTGAATACTGAGAAGAAAATTGTAAGATGTTGAGTGACTTCCAGTAGAAAAGAATATTATCTAAACATCAAAACGGATGTCTGCCTTTAGGTGAGTGGCAAATTGAGAGTGTTTTGTCAACAAGAACTTTTAAATATCTCTGACTGCTTCACAATTAAACGATTGTCACTTCTTAACCAAATGTGTCTGAATATAGATATGCTAGATTGATAGTGTTCGTGATGTGAGATTTGCTAATGCAGAAAGTATGTTTGAAACTATTCTGAATACTTAATAATATGTGGACTTGCTATATTGTGTTTGGACTCTACCTGTGTGTAAATGTAGGAATGCTTCATGTATAATGATAATCTATTTTTCGGTTCATAACTCACCAATGTTCATCTGACTAGTGTGGATTTAGTGAGCTCTGACTTATATGACTTATTCGGTAATCTTTCATGATATTTCTGGACAAATTTATCGAGAAGCTGCTGCTGAAATCACCCTGAACGACAACTAAAGTTTACGACTATTTCATCTGACTAACGGAATCTACGATCTAAGGAATCATCCACCCCATCTTCACAACGTATACATTATTTTTCTAACAACATACAAACATTCACTTTAATAGTTCCATTAAATATCACATCAGCTATACTACTTCACATGTTAACAGTAAGTATATAAACAAAATGATTGTAGAATATTAGTCAAAGTGTACTTGAGACAAATCATACTTCACTTTGAGAGTTTTATGTTTGTCAAAAGTTAGTTATATACATTGTATTTCGAAAGATTCTCCACATCACATCACCATTCTTTACAGTTAGTAATCTGTTCTCCTTTTCTTCTTTTGTCTCATAATTGGTCAATAATCTAGATGTGTGTATGTGACAAAACAAACCGAATAATTTTGATAGATATTATGAATAAAGGGGAGAGATTAAATTTGTTTGAAAATGCCGCTACATTGTTTGTAATACTGAGTGTGAATCTACAGAATACATTAAAACTGTAAATGTAATGTTGAATGCGAATGTATCACCCTGATGTAAAAATGAAGTGGTGATGACCCTTTAATCTAAATTGTGATTTTCATGTTGACATTTATCACAATATCTTACTGACATGAACACTATCAATTCAATTGTATTCCCTTTTTTATTTTCTTATTTTTAATTTATTTGAAAGAGAGTTTGCAAACATCTGACATTTTATGAAGTTTGCTACATATATCTTATCTTTATCGATATTTACCAAAGTTTATGTTTTGTTATGGTAGGATTTGTTGATTTTGTATATCAAATTTACTGTTAGTTCTGTCCTATCAGAATTAGTTTTTTTTCTTTAAGATATCAGTGATCGATGTATTAGTGATAATACCAAGAGCTACTAACTACGCTTCAGTTATTCTATTTACTTGGATAATTTATACTTTAAGAGATATGTAGCTATTACTGTAACTAAACATGATACAAAATCAAAATTTAAAATTCATTCACTTATAAGTGGATTCAAAATCAATCGTCAATTGAAAGAACGACATACAATAGTGACAACAGGTTTTCTACTAGAGACCTTTAATTGAATACAAGTGTGGTGTGTGCTACTTATATTGACATAAGTACTAGATGATGTTAGTCGTGAACAGAAAGTCTGGCAGCAGAGAGACAAGAGGATTGAACAGTAAAGAACGGAAACAGGATGCAATTTGTATGAAAATGGAAGAACAATGACGTCTGAGTCATTTTGATACAATTGGTGGACATTTTGCAAATTAAGCATTTACTTTATGATTGTTAGATTTTATTAACAATTCCTGTAATTTTGTGTTAAATACACTCGATTGTTCCCGCTCTTGTTCTTGTTCACTACACAAGTATTTAGTGTGTAAGAATATTTATTACTACTATTATTATTGGCTTTATTCAATAGTATACTTTTGGTACAATATAGAATTCTCAGCACAAAGTATTTCAACAAGTTTCCTTTTCTTACTTCTTGATTGATCCTTGCGATAAATATTGAGTGATTTCCAGTTAGATGTTCACAGGTCAGGAATCGACATCTGATTAATGTATATTCTTTTCGATACATATTGCCAGCGACCACGAGGTCTCTGACTGGGCTCTTTTGTGACTTGTATAGAGAAATGTTGTATGCGTTTCAAAAACGCACCTGAATAATTTACGAGACTAATAGGCCTAATGATGTCTTAATGCAAACAAGAAAACAGGTAAATTGTTGAAATATCCAGATGGCAGGAACAGTTAGCCCAGATATTCAAGTAGGCAACCTTGTTTGATATATTAATGTTAATATCAAATAGTGAATATTTGTGAATAGTTTTTGTCTTAAATTAGATCACTTTCTTTAATGAATAAAAGGTTAATTGTCTCTGGTAGTGTAGTTGCCTGACGTGAGATACTTTCAAAAAATGAACAGAATTTTTAATGACTGGAAAGTTAAATTCTCCTAAATTTACTTAACACTCATATTAGTTCTCTAAATTAGAACCAGTAGATCTTATCTGATGTCTTTCTTGCAGGTTTCAACTCATACTATTGAATCTACGCAACAAATTAAAAACTATTCTTGATCGATTTTATAATACGGATTCTATTTATTCAATAGCTAACACGTAAT